TAATTGCTCTAGTTCAGAAGATACAGATGCAGGTAAATGTTTATAAAAACAGGAGTCTGCAGCCATGCCACCCTGAACACGCCCGATATCTGATCTCAGAAGCTAAGCAGGGTCAGGCCTGGTTAGAACTTGGATAGGAGACCACCTAGGAAGACCAGGTGCTGTAGGCATAAAAAAAAATAAAATAAGAGATTGTAAGCTGACAAGGTCCTCTCGATCTGTGAGGTCCTCCAAAGGTTGCCTCGCCTAAAACAAAACAAAACAAAAAACAGGAGTCAGAAAGCCGTGGCAACAGCGAGAGGGTGTGTGAGAGTTAACAGCCACCCCTGCTATGTGGCTTTACCAATCGTCACAGCTGGACATACGAGCCCGAATGTTTGAATGTTCGATTTTTGTTTTCTTAATTTCCCTGTGGCCTCTCAAAAGTGCTCCAGTTTTGATGTCTAGAGAGGGACTGTTAGTGACATCTGCGGGAAGGTACAAAGAATTCCCTCCCTGTTCTGGTTCTAGCCCTGGTGTTCCCGGGAGTTTGGGCCGTGGCTGGTAATAGGCGATCTCAGTGCTGCTCCCAGCTCATCTCCAGCATCTCCTCCTGACTCTTTGCGATGTGGCCAGATCTCTGTTGTCTAGGCAAAGGAGGCGGGGAGCATGCATGGTCCAGCAGGGACTGACTAACGACTGCTCAGCTGGCTTGGGGAGGTGCTTTTCTACTGACCGAGACTGAAGCTTTTGCAATTCACAGCGCTTCTTAGAGCCCTGGTTTGGGCCACGCACCCAGCACATTGAACATCAGGCATCGAAGGCCTGCGATCTCTGGGTGACGGGACACCAATGCAGTCAGCCCTGCGCGTGTCCCAGCTTGCCGCCTGGAGAGGACATCCGGCCACCGCGCAGGCGGGAGTGACCAGGGAGGCCACAGCCGTCGCCCTGAGTTGGGGAGGTGCAGCTCGGAGTCTGGGGAAGCCGAGGCGGCTGGCGTCCACAGAGAAGAGCCCTGGAGAAGAGAGAGCCGCACAGAGAACACCCTTTGCCCTCGGCTGAGTCTGGGCAAGACCCTCCTCAGTGCCCTACCCACTAAGCTGGGCACGATGAGGTCCCCTCCTGGGCACTGTGCCCTCTGTCCTCTCGTGTGTTCCTCCCCTCAGCTGCAGTGAACAGGGCGGTGCCGCTATCTCTGAATCGGTGCTTTTGTTTTCTTTGGATAAATACTCAGAAGTGGGGTTGCTGGATTGTATGGCAAGTAGACTCATCGTGGGGGGCATTTTGTAATGTACACAAATACGGAATCACTATGATGTACACCCAAGACTAATAGGATACTGTATGTCAATATTATGTCGGTAAAAAAATGCATTTCACAAAATCCAACATTCTTCCCTGCTAGAAAGTCTCACTGCACTAGAAAGATGTCATGTATGTAGATGCTCCGGTTTAATGCTACACTTCATGGCGAAAGGCTGCACGCTGCCCCCTAAAGTCAGGAACAAGGCAGTATGTTTGTCCTCGCCACTTCTGTTCAGTGCTGTGTGGAAGGAAGCGCTAGCCAGCGCAGTGGGGAAGACGAGGTAAAGAAGGCATGCCGTCGGAAAGGAAGACGTCAGCCATCTCCATCTGCAGGTGACGTGATCGTCTACCTAGAAAATCCCATGGGATCTGCAAAAGTGAAATCAGAACTACGAAGTTAGCTTAGCAAGGTTGTAGAGTGTAAGATCAATACACAGAAATGAATTGTGTTTCCATATCCTAGCAACAGACGATCAGACACCTGCTCTGAAGTCCAGGTTCAGCGTTTACCCCGCACTGCTGCTTGCCATGCCTTCTGTCCCAGCAGCATTCTGGAAAATGCCATGAGTGCCCACTGTGGCTTTGGGCAGAGTCAGGGAACGAAACGGTCGTGTGGCCATTGTGAAGCCATGGTGGCCGAGGAGGGACAGGAAGGACTGATCATGGAGGGAGAGCAGCGAGTCCCCTGAGCTTCACCACAAGCAGGTCAGGTGAACGGCATCTTGCTGAGACACCGGTTCGGCGTCCGTCCCAAAGGAGGAAATGTCATAAGCACAACGAGAGAGACCAGATGATGATCAGGACCAGATGGCTGTCACCGGCACCACGCATGCGTTAGTGCGAAGTAGGGGCATGGCGGTGAGGTCGTGCAGCACCAGCCCCAAGCCAATCACTGTTCCCCAGCTTGCGCCCCAGTTCTTCTTTACACGAGAGAGGGAGAGGGTGGAGGGGGGCTGCAGGACACAGGCGCAGGTCTGGGAATCACTGGTCCCGTCTGAGAGGAGGACTCGGCTAGATTTGAGCAAGTGTAGTTGTTTCAGCAGAAACGTCGTTGCCACCCCCGTGCGCCTCCCATCCCTGCGTTCTCGGCACACGTGTGTCCACCGCTGAGCCCGGCGCTGGTCAGGCCCCTCTGCAGGGAAAAGGGCCTGAGGACACTGCATTCCTTCCTGTTCCATTTATCTGGCTATTGGGAAGTGGTGCAGGAATCTCGATAACTTGCTTCTAGGGCATGGGAAGGAAAACCGCAGCCTGCCATTTGTGCCTTGGGTGGCAGGTGGAAGTCGAAACTGCCCCACGGACAACAACGCTGGAAGACTCGCTGCTTTGCTTTCGACCTCTTCTCAGTCAGAGATGAAAATGTGCAAATAATCCCCTCTGCAGGCCCGTAGTGTTCTGAGTTAGCTTCTGTCAGGAAGAAAGAGCTGTTTCAGCTTCTATCCTTGTGTCCTGCTTCACTGGCCTTCTCGGGAAGCTGTCTGGAGTCCCCTGGAATGTGGCTGCAGCACTGGCCCCTTTGCTTATCCCACCCCAGTCTGCGGTGCTTTGGGGGAGGGCAGAGCAAACCTCGAGGGTGATGATGAGGTCAGACCGAAGCCTGGAGCAGCCCAGCATTGGCTTAGGCAGGTTTTATGGCTGGGTTTGTCACTTTTTTCCTGAGTGCAGATTGGCTAGTTCCCGTGAGTCAGCACCTGCCCTGCCTGGCTCCGTTGCTGGAGGCCTTTGCTGCCTTCCTGGTAGGTTTTTTCTGTGCTGGCAGCAGCTGCAGATGCTCAGGCATCACGAGAAAACGAGCTAGGGTTCTAGAGTGTTGGGGTACATGTGCGTACCCCAGCATGCCCACACGCGTGCTCCCGAGCCCGCTTCCTGTCTAGACTAGCGTGTAGGAAGGGGTCCTGGCCCGTGCAGATGTGGCTCTGCTCTCCCATGTGCAGAGGACAAGTCGTCACATCATCTGAGCATTTTATACATGAGACAGCGAGGACCAGAGGGGACAAGTGATCCCCTCGAAGTTGCATGTGACAAAGTTCAGGCCAGATTCTAGGGCAGCTGGAGTTAGAATTACGGAGTAATCAGTTAATGAGAGTAATTAAAGGTCTAGGTGTGGACAGAGCGGGAGAAGTAGCCATGGAGCTGGTAAGGGCAGGTGGGCGGGGTCGGGCAAGACTCAGGACCCGCCCCCAGAGGTATTATGGATGGTGTGGGTTACAGAAACCGGTGGAGTTTTCTTGTTTTTATATGTTGCCTCTAGATTTCACTCCAACAAAAACCCTTTAGAAAAATGGATCTGATAAGTTCATTTATACTAAAATGTTACATGATAGATTTATTTTAATTTGTTACCTCTCTTGATGTGTTTAGAAAATTAAATGCTAGTAAAAGGGTTATTTAAAAAACGCGTGTTCTCTGCCGCGCTCCTACCCAACCTCCTCTCTCCCAGTCCTGTTTCCTAGAGGTATCCAGTTTACATTCTTGTAGCTT